CTTTGTGAGTCCTCAACATAGATGTATCTTCCTTTGTGGCAGTGAAATTCGATAAACAAAACACCCATGTTACTTGGGTTTATTTGGCTTTGAACTTGTGCTCACCGACTCTTGGGATTTCAAATTATCTACCATGTTGTGAAATTCTTGGTGTAGGTGATACCGTGGAAGGTCAATTAATATCTTTTCTCAACCTTTGGTTCAAGTGGAATTGAGTAAAGTCATCAATCTATCTAATCTAGTTCAAACCATGCAAATTCCCTATTATTATTGAATCATTAAGGACCTTGCCAAGATCGACATTCGTGCCTTCTAGTGTGAGAGCATCTGATAAGGCTGGTGTTGGACGATCTGGTAAGTTGGCAGACCGTTTTGTATTTAATTCCACTACAAGCTTAAATTTTCATGAAACGACTGCATACTCAACCCATTTCTAAGTGACATCAAAATTCCTTTCAACAGGATAAGTTTCTTTCTTGTCAGTGTAATATTGGTCCTGATATAATAGGGCAAGCGGGTGAGCGGTTATGATGATGTTGCCTCCTTGCACGACACCTATAGCGTGCCCTTGTTGCTTTTTTTAATTTAAAGGAAAAAGTGCAATAGACTCCTCCCTCACAGAACATTGACTGGATAAACCCTAAACCAATTTTGTGTTAAATTTACTCCTCCAAATCTTTTAGTTGGACCATTCTATCCCACTACAAGATTGTTTTTTTTTCTTTCTCCAAATATATGTTGAGTTTTTAAGTTCAATTTTGTAGGGCTATAAAGAACTTCATAAATTGTGTTATACATTATGAATTTTTATACCTTAGGCATCTAAAAATAAATTAACACTACAAAAACAGTAATGAAAATTGCATAATCTATTTTCTAACATAATTTAGGACATTTTTTGGACCACTGTATAAAATTTGGACTTAAAACTCAACTTGACGTGGAGAAATAAAGACAAACCTTATTAATGGATAGATTAGACCAGCCGAAAGACCGGACTTTTTTCTAGTTTATTTAAATCACTCTACATGCACAACCATATATAGCATCCGTGACCTCTGTTTTAAATTTCAGGAATTGTACTATATATCCTACAATTAAAAAGAACAAAACTAAGATAGCGGAATGGTGCGACAGTTGTTGGGGTCGTCGCTCTCCCTCATGGTGCGATCCCGCGATCGCGGGGGTCGTTGCTCTACCTCGGGGTGCCATCCCGCGATCAGCCCACGATCACGCAAGCACGCAAAAGGAAAAGCTCGTGCAAACACCGCCATCGCAGTTCACCGCGCAATAACTGCAGCCCGGGAGGAAAGGAATCACTGCACCCTCGCCTGCCGCTCGCCCACGACGCGTAGTCACCGCAACCTGCGCTCCTTCCCATCCTGAGCTAATCCACGCCGCCGCACCCTCGCGCCTTCACCGGCACCAGAACCTCGCCACACCCCTGCCCCGACACCGCCGAGGAGCCGCGCTCATCGCCGCGCCTCGTCTCCGCCGGACGCCGGGTCTGCCTGCTCCTCTCTATCGATGGCGGTGCGACGATCCCAGCCTGACGCTTCATCGCACGCAAGCTCACCCGGCCGCCTGCCCACGCGCCCTATCGCTCGCCTCGCCCTTCGCCGCCGCACACACGGCGCAGCCGCCACGCCCCACAGCAGCTGGGCCCACGCGCCCACGACGGCCGAGCCGTCGGGTTCCACGATGACCACGCCACCGAAATCCACGATGACCGCACTGCCGCGACCTCCCCACCCATCCCCGATCTACGCCTCCATCGCCCATCATTCGACCCAGCCGAGCTGCCGCCACAGGATCATACCACGCTGTAGTTAGGTGAGGCATTTGTTCATTTGCAGCTGTCGCCCATCCAGCAAATGGACTGCAGTGGTCTCCGTCTCTCGCAACGTGGCGGCCACGCTGTACCGAGGTGAGGCATCGGTTCGCTTACTGGATGAGCGAGTTCTTGTGATTTCACCCTTATTTGCTACGCTGATATCTGCAGGACTGTTGTGGCTCCTGCGGCACCCGAGGACGAGCAGCTGGCCGGTTACTTTAATGTGTTGCTGCATCTCTAGCGTGAGAGACTTGAGTAAGTTTAGAACTGGATAATTGTCTGCTGACTGTTTAGGACTAAATTTTAGATATATGGGGTTGAAGACTTAATGTGTTGTACCAATGACCAGAGTGTACAGTCAACAAGGCAATTATAGGAGTTCTGACCCAAAGAAAATCAAGCCAGAAACAATGGACCATGATCAACTCGTTGAAGAACTGAAATGGTGCTTGGGATGAAAAAAAAAGTTTATTAGAATTCCTTCATTGCATATCAAGCACAGGTATATTAGAATTATTTCATTACTTGATCCTTCACAGATTGAAGTGGAATTTCTGTTTAATTTTTGTTATCTGTCTGCGGTTTAGTCAATTATGCCTAGGCAGTAAAATAAATACACGAACCAATCGTTGTAAGATCAACAGCACAAGAAAATAGCTGACATTTTTTTATCTGAACAAATAGACATACTAGAGAACCTTGCACATGACATGTTATTTTTTTTTCAAACTGAACCTATTGAAGTATGCTGAAAGGTGGTAACTATGCACACAAGTGGTTCGGAAAATAGAATAAACGCTCCAATTTGTACTGTATCTCATGACACATGTGATAGGATCATGGTGTGTTACCTGATCAAAGAAAGTAGTTTTGCTTATAGTTTCATTGTAAACCCAGTTTACTTATCTTTTGCTTATATTTTTTCTACCTCTTGCCTTTCTAAAATTCAATTTTGAATACATAGCAAATTGCCTTTCATTATCTCAGTTTTGAAATAACCATTGTCAAACAAATAAGAACGGAGGTAGTACATTAGTACCTGTGAAGCCCCAATAATCAGTTGATTACTGCTGCTTCAGCTTGTATTTTTCTTTGAAGTTTCTACTCCTGCTTAATGAATACCGTGCTAATGCACGTTCGAGAAAATTAGTACCTTAGGTTTGTTCACACTGTTATAAATTTCAATGCTGAGCGAGGCATGCAGCACTGGGTGAGCTGTTATGCTTATGCTGTAAATAGCCATGCTTCCACCCACGAGAAATGGATTGGTGGTATCAGCTTAAGCCGCCAGCGTCCCTCAATGTTATTCTGCTTACGATTAGAGATCTTTTTCTAGCATCAGTCAAGGTACTCTATCTCAATGTTGGCCCTGATTTTAGTATGTTTGGTTGCATTTGATCTTGAAAAATAATGCAAAAGCGTGCTCTAATTTTGTGATGGAGAACCTACAAGTATCTGTGCTCTAAACTGGTAGAATTAAGCATGTCCAATTGATACAAGTTATGCATGTCCAAGTCCAATTAGTCTAAATTGGTCGAAGCTAAGCATCATTGACAACGGTCGGCATTAAGGCAAGTGTGCAGGTTTGGAGGTGTAGTTAATGTGAATTTCCCTCTATTATTCATCCTAGCAAAATACTTTTCCATAATATTGTTTATATAGTTGCTTCTCGAGTTGTATGACAATGCAGTAACATGCATAAACCATTGTCAGATAGTGAACAACTCCTGATCAGAGCACATGATGCATCTCGTAATTGTTTGAATCATTTTCCATTGGGTAATCTCTGCATGCGAGTTATAATCCTATCTATTACCAGTTTGTCTCTACTTCCAGAAGGTGAATACAAGATTAGGGGGGAAATAGAAAATCAATTCTGTGTGAGATCTGATGGTGCAAGGAATTGTCAACCCGAGGTGACGAGGATCTCTCCTGCCTCCCTCTTCCTCACTCTCACTCTTGTTCAGAGGCTGCCTCTTCCTCACTCCCTCTTGCTGACAGGCTACCCTCTTGCTCATGGGCCAGAGTGTAGGGAGGAGACCTGATGATACGCAGTTGTGGGCTTGTGGCACAGGCATCGTGGAGGCAAGGCGTTGATATCCTCGAGGCGGATGTTGGGTCCGAAGTAGCCCTTGGAGTAGGTGTGTGTGTCAGCGCCGTTCGTGCTAGGTTTTGGTGGAATTCTTGATTATTTTAATCCAAAATTTATTTTTAATCGGTTTTAAACACGCCCTATGGGTGCAGTGGGCTCCAACAGCCTTCGTGGACTCCAAGGCCAGCTGTGAGCAGCTTGGGAGACGGTATTTGATGGGCTCCAGCCTAGCAGGTATTACCAATTACGTAAGTCGCTTGCTTCCTTTTTTTATTACTTGTTTGCTATATACTATTCTAATTGCTATTATGTTTGCAGTTTCTTTTGTCATGGCTCTTGAAAATATATGTTTTATGTTTTCGATCAGCGGAAGAAGATGCTTATCATGATTGACTCTAGACCTGTTGAAGAGTGGTGTAAAGACACACCAGCGTTGATGTATGCCAGGCAAACTCTTGTTTTTTGGATTAAATGTCACTTTAACATTGATATTTAATTTTTACAGTATTGTTATGTTATCATGCGATCCGTGTGTTTTTAGTATAAATTATTAGCTATCCCGTAGCAAACGCACGGGCACGCTATCTAGTTTATCAAAAAAGAAAGTAGTATATGATATCTAATTTCAGGAGGTAGAGTAAAAATACAGAAAAAAACATATAGGAAAAAACTAACAAGAGGTATAAATATCCGATGTGAACCACTGTTTGACTTTAAACCCAGCAAAGTGCCACTGTCACAATGTAAATACTGTCGCATGAGCCACTGTTCTCATGGGCAAATCACCTGACACATAAACCAAGTCGCCTTCCAAGCACTCACGATGAGGCAAGGGAAAACACACACAGATAACAGTACCAAATGAACTGCAAAAGGTGCTGAAATTAAACACAAATAACAGGCCTGCTAGCTAGCTAGTCCGGCAAGCCCACAACATGACATGGACGACGAAGCAACTTTAAAGTTCAATAACGACGAAGCCGGCACAAATCCGTCAGACTTCTGGTGCACGTCGGCTGCCCTTCCATCGATCTATTTGGCTCCGGCGAGTCGATGTATGCCGGCGGCGCAGCTCTAGTTGAGGTTTAGGTTTGTCTGATGAGCTCCGGGCTGGGGGCGGGGGACGCGGAGACGAAAGACGTTGTGGCGGCATTGGCACAGCTCGGCTCCTTCGTCCAGCTCGGCTTCCATCAGGGCCATCAGGCGCCCGCATTTGTAACAGAAGAGACTTCCGCATCTGCATGCCAATGGCGTCAGAAACACCGTGCAAGACGTTTAAGATTAGCATTACCATGCATTGGGCCAAGCATACAAAGACTGGAACATCATACGAACAGGTCTGTCATATATAGGCATAAATATAGATACTATGGCTTGTCATGAATAAAGCGATCTTTTTCCCTGAAGATCCATATGGTAAATTTTTTCGAAGCCGCCCTATTAACGTTGTTTAAAAACAAAGCTGTACGTGATATGGAGTAGTAAAGGAGAACTGAATAGTAAACACAAGAAAATGAAACAGCAAGTAAAACATGATAAGTTATAATTCTAGAGCTGTTTCCAGTGCAAATACTGCAAATTTTGTGTTAAATTCCAGGCACAATCTTTACTTTTTTATGAACCACAAATGACAATTATATTTTTGCATGCATGTATCTAAAAATATCCTACTATCTGTTAAACATATGCAAAATCAACTTTGCTAGCGGGTTGATAGTTTCAAACAATTAACCAAATTCGCTCTAAGCATTACAAATGTTGTACTACTACCATTGTACCATTTACAGGAAGCTATAAGCTACCTGAATCAAAATATCCTAACGTTGAAACATGTATGAGAAGCTATACAAATCCAAAACAGCAAATATAGTACTGAAATTGGATAAGATATTGATCTGAAAATGCTAGTATTAAGCACCGGTGGTCAGGTGACATGATGTGATAATTCATATGGTAGAACTTCAGAAACCGCTCTACTATCTTGTAATAACAGAGGCACAAATATACTACTAGTAAGACCGCTCCATTGAAACCTATAGGCCTTGACTGCACTATAATCCATTTTAATTCATATGTATCGGACAGAGGGGTGGCTCCATCGCTGGTGTCGGTAATCGAGGGATTACCATGACCAGTTAAGGTTGTAGCAAACTCTGCTTCTGCTTAATGAAAAACATGCCGGCATGGTCATGAAAAAGAATGTGGTGGCTCCGATTCATCCCAATAAATGGATTGTGACGGGTTGAATTGCAACAAAACAAGCCTACTCCGTATATGATAAAACTTCAGAAACCGCTATAGTAAAAGGAAAGCCTACTCCGTATATGATAAAACTTCTGAAACCGCTATAGTAAAAGGAAAGCTAGCTGTTCGTGATGGAGTAGAGGAGATCTGAGTGAGGATTAAACACAAGAAGAAACCGAGACAGGAAATAAAACGCGAGAAGTGTCCAATATATATACCTGCAGTGCATAGTATCGCACCCCATGATCCTCTCGACCACAATCTTACAACTGGGGCACAGGATGGAGACGCCGCCGTCGCGGATCCTGCCCTCGATGTAGGTGGCCATGCACTGCGCGCAGAACTTGTGGTCGCACTGCATGCCGTGGAAGAGGTCCAGGATGGGGAGCGTCTCCAGGCAGATGCCGCAGTCGAACTTGGCGACCTCGTCGTCCGCGAGAGGGGGCACCCTGCTCTGCCTCTTCGTCGACGGGCCAGGTTCGTCTGGGTCAAGCTCGGATGGGTGGACGCCCCATATCTTGCAGTAGCCTTCCAGGGTCAGCTCGCGTCCGTCTTCGCCGGCAGAGGGACGCTTGTGACCGCAGTGCTCCTCCTTTGGTGGTGCCTCGGACTCGGACCTGCCGGGAAGTTACAGCGGGAATACATCTCCCGGATTTCTGGCTCCTCCATCTGCTCTAGCCTTTGAGCGTCACGGGCGATGGACTTGTACCACTCATTGCCGTCCTCTTCCTCCGTACTACCGGCGAAGATAGTTGAGTTGACAGGAGCACTCGGCCTCGCCGTCGCTGATGCTTCAGTCCTTGTCTGGGCAGGCAGCAAACGGGTTATTAGCATTGACATGGGCGCCAACGTTGAAAATGTTGGTGTTGGCATGAATGGTGCGGAGGAGTGCCGCCGTTTCGGGTGCGACTGTGGCCATGAGGAAGTCTAGACAAGGATTGACGACCTGTGCCACATCCACATCCAGGGGAGCATCCAAATCCTCCTGCTGAATCCAGTAGTCATCGTCGTCTACCTAGTCCCAGAAGATCATTGCGTTCTGTGTGCCTGTCTCCACTGTATCCGCCGAGGTAGAAGCAGCATCGCGGACGACGGCTTCTTGCTTGGATCCGTCCACGAACTTCGGTGTGCTGAGTCCGCCGACGACCGCCTCCACTACATCCGGGGCCATAGCATCACGGATGACGGCTTCCTCCTTTGACTGGTGGTCCATGGGGGGATTGGAGTTTTCTTTCTCCATCACAAACTGCATAATGACCTAGAAAATGGGAATGTAAGATTCACTTATGACAGCTTACCAGTGTGCAACACAGACATTCCAAATAGCGAAACTTAGACATATCAAATGTGATTGTTGTCAACCTGAGACATTAACACTAAAAGCAAAAAAGAAGAAGAAGAAGAGAGAATACAACATATATATAGCACATCTCTAAGAGTAGTATAAGGACCTGTGTTGTGCCCACACTAGGGTGTTTTTAGAGCATCTAAGAGACTCTCTCCATGACTCTTTATCACAGAGACTTTAAAAAACAAAACAAAAACTCCAATAGACTACCTAAACTACTCCCTATCTTTTCCACTCTCCACTTTTGGAGAGGCTACATGCCTTTTTAAATGGAATATAGGTTGTTTTCTCATGAATGTTTTCATATAAGGAAAATTATATTTAACTATTGGAGTATAGTGAACAAAAATCAAAGAGTTCGCAGGAACACACGAGAGGTACATAAAGAGAATATCCATTGAATGTCTCTCCAAATAATATAGATATAGAGATTAAAATTTAGACTCTTGGGAGTTGCACTTAGGGGGGCCAAAACACTTCCGATGTGCGGCCACAGAACATAAAGGTCATATGGCTCAAATTCTCTCCACATATATGAAACCATACCCATCTTCTCTCCCAAATGACCCCCAACCCCTTTGACTCTTTTTCTCTAGAGCCTTGCCTCCCTATGTTTCACCACTAGTCTCACACTAACTAGCTAGGCTCTCCTGACCTGAAGTCTTATTCTCACCCAAATCTAGCTTCATTCTCTTATGTCCCGCTCTGTCTCCCTCTCTAGATTCTGACTTGTGATACCATTATGCCTTACACGACTTGTTGCCATCGCCTTTCGCCTAAGCTTGAGAATTTGGGGAAACCTCACGGAGCATACAACCCCCCAAATCCCAACCCATATTTCCTTATTGAAGAATCTCATAAAAGGCGGAGAATAAGAACCTCACCAAACTATACTTCTAAAAAATGAGGACTCCATAGCATTCTCCTAGGAGAAATAAGAGGTGTATTGATAAAAAAATAGATATATTCCAAAACTCCTCTCACATTCCACAAAAACTTTGGTGTTGTCTTTCCCCCTCTCTCCCACCCCTACCTTGTGATGTCACACCTTAGATGTTGTTTATAGGCACTAGTTAAAAACCCAACACTAAGCTATGAGCGCCTAGAAAAGTAGAATTGGAAGGCCAAGGGATCATTTTAGCTGGCACACAACATGAGCAAGCTTGCAATCCCAAAACAACTAAATGACAAAGCTATTGTCCCCATCAATTGCATCACCTTGGCCTCCATCACTGCCCATGGTTGATGCCTATACCTCACCTCCATACCATGCCACCCACTTTTGTCCCCACCTATCCCCCACTAATCGATCCACCTGCTTGCCCTATTACATCCTCCACTAACCGAACTACCTACTCACACAACCACCGACCATCTCCACCGGTCATTCTCCACTACCTAACTATCGATTGCCCTCACCAACTTGCCTCACACAAATGGTGATGCCATCACCACCATGTTGGTTGCCGCACATACCTCCTTACAAGCATCACCCATTTTCCTTTCCAACTTTAGCAATGTCCCAAATCCAAACCCTAACCATAACCCCAACATCACCAAGCTTCAACCCAAAGGAATTAAGGAAGAAAGGAGGTGACGGTGCTGGTAGAGGTCTAACCTCTTTGTCAGTTGCTTGTCACTAATTAGCAGCACGTTAGTTTCTTGAGATCTATGCTCTCGAGGTAGGAAAGGGAGAGATAAATGACTTGCTAGTGTTCTCATAGGATAAACATAACTAGTCTATTAACAAAAAGGTAGATTTGATCCGAAATCCCGCACATATGCCACAAAACTTTATCGCTCTCTCCCCCTTTATCCTACTTTCTACCCTGGGAAGTCACACCTTATATATGCTTCCAAATGATGTTAGTCGACACCCACCGCTAAGCTATCGAGTGCCTAGAAATGTACAGATGGAATGCAAGGGGGCATTTTAGTTGTCACACACGCAAAAGCCTGTATAGATGTTACACTCAAACAACTAAATGAAAAAGTTGTTGGCACCATCAACCATGTCACTCATAGCCACTACCATCACCTATGGTCGATGATGACCTCACCTCCATTCCATGTCGCATGCCTCTCTCACTACCCATCGTCCACTAACAAATCTACTTCCTCCTCTGCACTATTAACCTATCTATCAGTAGTTTGCCACCACCCAGCTTATAGTTCCGTCACCGTCTTGTCTCACGGACTCCACTTGGTAATACCACCATGTCGACCACCAAACACATCTATCCACAAAGACCTACCCCCTTATTTCCTTCCATCTATGCCACCGCTGTTAATCTAAATCTAAATCCTAGCGCCAATCGTAACTCGAACACTAGATGCTCTGATTCTAGAGAAACAAGGAAGGAAAGAAGGGAGGGAGGGAGGGAGGGAGGAGGAGGATGAGGAGGGGGGAGGGGAGGATGTGTTCTAACCTCGCCATCAGTTGCTTGCCTTTGGTCACCAGTAAGTCAGTCTCCTTGGATTTGAGCAGAGAGGTGGAAGGGAGAGAGAAATGAGTTGGTCAAAGGTTGGTTGGTGAACATATAAGGAGAGTAGTAGGTGCAGGTACCACACAAGTAAGCACTCACATGACAACAAAAGGTTATGAACGCCAAATAAGCGTAGTTTAGGCAATCTAGCCCACAGAAAGCAAGATATGGCTACATATTAATTGTCTTGAATATTTTATAAATGACAATAAATTTTCTCTAAAAAACATATCCTAATCCTTCAACCCACATATTACATCATTAGACGTTACTCTACCAGTAACTAATGCCACCACTGAAATCATATCTTGCTAGCTAAGACATATCATTGCATGTTGCATGCTTCTCTCTCCACCATCCTCCACAAACAAATCTACTTTCTCACCTACACTATTAACCCTATCGCTTCCTCCGTCCCAAAATAAGTGACGTTTTTTACTTTTTAGACATCTTGATTGACCGTTTGTCTTATTCAAAATTTTATACAAATATTATCTATTTTGTCATGACTTATTTTATCATTAGAGATACTTTAATAATAATTTATTTATTTTATAATTTGCACAAAAAAGTTGAATAAGACGAATGGTCAAACATGATATCAAAAAGTCAAAAATGTCACTTATTTTGGGACGGAGGGAGTATCAATCATTCGCCAGCACCCAGCTTATAGTTCTCTCATCGTCTTGTCTCATGGCCTCCACTTGGTAATACCACCATGTTGACCATCGAACACATCTATCCTCAAAAGCATTATGCCCTTATTCCTTTCCATCTATCTCTTTCATTAATATAGATCTAAATCCTAACACCAACCGTAACTCGAACACTAGATGATCCAATTCTAGAGAAGAAAGGAAGTGTCAGTGTTTTTTACCGGCGATATTCGGTTCTTGGAGGAATTAAGCTTAACGCAAAGAGCAAGCATAGTAGAGACACGGAATTTATATCGTTCGCCCCCGAAGGGAGGTAAAAGCCGTCGTCCGGTTGCTACTTGTTTGTATTATAATCTCGTCGAATAGCGAGATGGCGATTAAAAGATGGCTATGCCTATGAGAGTTTCGATGATTACAACAGGGCGGATAGCTAGCTATTTATATCTAAGGCTTACTTGCCCTACAAGTTACATAGTCATGCCCTAGTCGGAGTCTTGGCGTGATCTTCACATATCCTTCCTTGAATAGGCGAGTCGTGAACCTTCGGGCCTTCTTCGGTACGGATTTGGTAGCCAGCATATCCGGTAGTCGGGAATCCTAGGAGTATGGCACCGTCAGTAGCCACTGAGCTTATTGGTTAAGTGAGACTCGGTAACCATCCTGTACTCGGGCCTTTTAGGGTGTTCAAAATCAGGACTTTATCTCAAGAGCCCGAGTTCATACCCGTGAGAACGAAGCTGGTCAGGTAGAAGTTAGAGGGTCGCATAGTTGGGCGATGAGCTATAAAAATAAAATAAGCCATACTCTGGAGTCATCTTGTCTTGTCAACACGGTCTTCGTCTAAGTCAGGCGGTGGTTGTCACGCACTCAAGTGGTCATGCTTACTCGACTTTCGAGGATTACGCGCGTGGCATACGATTATTAATGTCGCTCGCTTGGCTAGTGGGTGACGATTGGCTTGCCTCTCCCAATCACCCTGGCCTTGGCTTTATAAGCGGGCGCCTGAGTGTTGGATTAGATCCACTTAGCATCCCCACATTTGCATTCATGAAGACGAAGACCGCCGCTCACCGCCGCAAGATCCCTCGCCTGCTGCTCAGGGATTCGCCCGGGCGATCTGCTAAGGCCTCGCCCCCATCATCTCCCTCAGCCTCGTCATCTCCCGCTCTGGCGTCACCTGTAGCTTCAACCCCGACTCCACCTTCGACCATGGTGCCCTCACAAGAAGAGGCTATGATCATGAAGGAGAAAGGAGAGGCCACGACGAGCACCGAGGAGGTCGCCGCCCCAGCCCCGGAGGAGTCGGAGTCCAACGTGCTGTCGCAGGGTGTCATCGAGCTCTCCAACGATGAGCCAGAAGATTTGATTGCCTCCATTGCTGTCGCCGCCAGCACCGGTCCCTCTAAAGCTAGGCCTTCTACTCCTCGGGTTGCTATCATGCCTGACACAAGCGACGACTGGGAGTTTGCCCGGAAGCTCTTCGTCGAGCTGAACCGGGAGGCCATCGGAATCCCTGGCGATGGGGCCCTAGTCGACCTGGTGAGTGACAACGAGGACACCATGGAAGCCGATGCTGGGAAGGCAAAGAAGGAAGTCGCCCCAGACGGCGAGGGGGAGGAGGGGGATGCCACGGCAGACGACAGGCTGCCAGAGCAAACCGCTGTGCCTCCCAGTCCTCTACCAAGCACATGAGCTTGGTGACAGTCACCCTGATCGGGCCATTTTGTCCCTGTACCGCAAGGGTTTCGTCCTTGCGGACTGTTATTCGTTAAAGCCTGACTCGGTGATTTGGTCTAGGAATAATGAATTCGGGTTTTAAGAATTCCCCTTGTAAACCCGTGTTTTAAGTGAAGTTTATTAATGAAAAACTTTAGTCGGTCTATTTTTGCAGTTAAATGTGTCTACACATCATGTGCATAGAAACAGACCGATGATTCCGTTTTAACTTTAGTTATTTGGTGTTTTCATGAGTCATTCCGCTCATCCCGTGCTGTTTGGGCCTTTAGCAGTTGGTCATTTGTTAACCAAACACGCGGAAATATCTAACTAAATTTCTTTTCAAGAAAGGAAATATTTTTAATGGAATATAAATGAAAAAATTAACCGAGAGATAATTACGGGTGCATGAATCGAGGCACACACTGTGGCTGTCGAGTGGTTTTTCGGGGATCGTACGGGCTGTGTGACCATTTAATCCCTCATTTCGCTTCGGTGGCAACCACTGTTGCACCCTTTTGCATTTTCACATCTGCCCGCTGTCCTCCTTTCCCCCCTCGAGTTTTTCATCTCCCTTGCGCCGCCATGGCCTTCGCCCAGCAGCAACCTGAGGACTCCATGAGTACCTCAAGCCAGATGAGCGCAGAGAAGTCACAGTCTTTCTACCCTTCCAAAGTCGTGTAGCCCGATGAGTACTGGAAAGCGTCGACCACGAAGGTGAAGAATTTGAAGAAGCCAAGGGAGCGAGGCCTACTGCCAGATCCACAGATCTATGAGTGGGTCGCCACCAAAGGTCAGGAGCATCCCATTCCCAATACATATCAAGCTATGGTTTTTATTGCGCATTTCAAGTGTGGCTTTGGGGGTTTTCCATCTAAGTTCCTAGAACAGATCTGTAGACATTATGGGATCGAGCTTGTACACCTACTGCCGAATGCGGTAGCAATGCTTAGCATCTTTGCCTTCTTGTGCGAGGCATGGCTTGGGGTTAAGCCTTATTTGGATTTGTGGCGCCACTTTTACTCCGCCACTTATTATGCCAAGAATTTGGCCATCGGGTCAGTCGGTTTCTCCCTGAGGAGGGAGGCGACTATATAATGTTCCCGATCAAGACCTCTTGGAAAGGATATCAGAGGAAATGGTTTTACATTCAACTCCATGAAGAGAGCCCGATCAAGGGTCGAGCGTTGATGCTTGTGTCCAATGAAAGGTGGAGATCGACCCCCTATGAATGAGAGGATGTAGAGGCATATTGCGCATATCTAGGAGCTCTGGACAGCCGGGCTTACTATGATGCACGTGGTGGAGACCTTTGTCAAGTGGAGGATTGTTCCCTTGAAGCAGCGAGATGCGGCCTACACCTACAAAGGGATCCTTGACCCGAACAAGGAATCAACTGAAGGTAAAAACCTTTATTCCGAGTTTGCCTCTTGTTTAGGAGTTTTTATTTATGATTTTTCATTTCTAAAGTCTGATTCGTCATGTTGTACTAGAAGTGTTAGATGAAGAGATCACCCAGCGAGTGAAGGACATCCTCGACTTTGCTCGGCCGGACTGGACTGGCGTGCCGCTGCCAAACAACGCCGAACACCCTCCACCACAGATAAAGGCAGGATCTTTATTGACTTGCTCCCCTAACAATCTTGATGTTTACATACTTGTGGTATGCCAGGATGTTATCCCCTTGGGCCTTGTTGCCGGGGGCATGGACATCAGTAGTGACGACGACGACAACCCTGAGCAGCAGCTAGCGGCCGGCCCAGCCCCCGAAGGGGAGGCAACTCGGGCTAACACAACCCGAGCTGCCCCGTCTCCTCCCAAGACAGGCTTGGGGATGCAGCAGAAGGAGATGCCCAATGAGGCACAGGTGGAGGTGGGTGCAGCGACGGAAAGGCCAGACCCCGAGCTGCTTTGGGTTGTTGAAAAGAGGAAGACCAGATCGCATGGAAGTGTGGAAGAACTCATGCTGCTTGCTTCTAAAAGAAGCCGAGGTAAGTCCAAGAGCCCCCTTCAGTCACTAGAACTAGTGAAAGCCAGCCGGCAGCGCCCCAAGAGACCGAGCAGGAGATATCGCCCTGCTCTAGCAATCAGGTACCACTTAGACATGTTTGTGACCGATTAGTCAGGGGTTTTAGCTATCTATATAGCCTTGAACGTGTTTGGGAGGTTTGTACTCAGGAGAAAGCCATAACCCCACCAGCACCTAAACCAACGACTCAGCGATCGAAGAAGCTAAGGTGTCTGATCCCGCTTAATCCGTAAGTGAATGGCTAGTGGCTTTGATTATGTTTTCTCTTGAGTTTCCCTTTGACACTTTGTTGCTGTTTACAGAAGAACTAAAACTCCTGAAGGTGCAACAAAGGCTGCTGTTGAAGAGCATGGTATTACTCCGACCCCTAAGGCATTGAACTTGGTCTTAGCAACCAGTGCCCAGGCTCAGGGGGCCCAAGCAATACTCCCAGAAAGAAACTCCTCTCGGTTGTGTGCTCTTGTCTAAGATATGCAAGGCTTCTGTGACCTCTAGGAGGGATATCTCAAAAGGGCCGAGCAGTCTGACTCAGACAATGCTAGGCTGCAGCAGGAGGTGTATGATCTTCTGGAGGGTACTGAAGGTATGTTTTGATGTAATTCTGAAGTACGCCCGTCGCTCTTCGGGCCCTAACCCCTTGTTTTCCTTAGGCCTGAGCAAACATGTTGATATCCTGGAGAGGGAAAAGGAGACTTTGAAGAAGCAAGCCGAGGAGTTGCAAAAGAGGCTTGAGGCTGGCAAGGAGCATCAGGCCGCTGTTGAGGAGAAGCTGACAGAGGGAGCCGTCACTGCTGTTGAACACGTGGTGGGAGTCATCAAGAGCCGCCAGCCTGATTTTGACCCGAGCCTTATACTGCAAGGTTACAATTGTAGTTAGGCGGATGATATTCAACAATTACTTGATGGAATCCGGACCACGGCCGTAGCTTTTGTTGAGAAGCTCAGTTTCTCCGTTGATGAGGATGAAGATGGTAAGTGAATTTTTATCTTGCATCAATCACCTTGTTGTGAAACATTAGTTCTGCCCCAAGACAATTTATATAATGTTGAACACATTATCGTTGCTTGTCTTTTAAGCCTTTTAGTTGGTCTGTGATTTTCTTTCTTTGGGTGCTATGTGCCATATTCACTTTGATCATAGAATTAGAGTAGCTGAACTCGAGCGGTCTGTAATATTGCTTCTCCTAACGATTATGAATGTTCAGGTGTTCCAGCTTTGCCAAATCAAAAAACTTTAGACTAGTAGAGGTATATATGTAGTAGCCCCCGACTCTTTATTTGAATAAGAGATTTATTCAGATGAAGAGTAAAGATCTATTAGAACATAAGGGTAGTTAAGCGACTATCATTCCAGGGTAGCCCCCGTTCCCTTGAAAAGGGTCGTACGACGCTACTGGTAGGCTCCAGCCCCCAGGCATATACAAGCTGGGGAGAAGGAAGTGAAGCCACGACAAGGAACTGATAATCTTAGGGAGATTGAGTTATTTCCAACTTGGTCCACATTTGGATATTCCTAGATCAGCCTTTTGATTGTCTTTGTTAAAAAGCCCCTGCCTGTAGATGACATTAATTCTTGTGTAGTTTGAAGGGTGAGTACAGTACTTTTGTGGCTTGATGATTCCATACATGTGAATCACTAGAGATTGAGCACTGCATATAGCGTAATAAGCCTCTTGTGATCACGTTGTTTGGAAAGGATTTAGGAGTTCCTAGATCATTCAAAGTCGAGTGCTCCGTCGAGCGCAATGTTCCTTCTCATGATGGGACTTCGGTGTAAATGAGTACTATGGTCAGTTGAGGTCAAGCATTCCATCGAGTCTTTGGGCCCTCGTGTGACGGTACTTCAATATTAGATGAGTACTTCGATCAATTGAAGTCGAGCACAATGGACCTTCACATGATGTGTACTTCGGGGTTAATGAGCACTTGAATCGTGTGAGGTCAAGAACTTCATCAAGCCTTTGGACCCCCACATGACTGAGTGATTCGAACTATACTTTGGACTCGTTTGAGATCGGGTGTAGCTTATTGCACCATAGAATTCCCGCATGATCAAGTATTGTAGGATTTAAGGTATATGCCACAAAAGTACTTTTTTGTTGTTCTTTCCCCTTCAACTTCAAATTTCCCCATATTCTGTTTTGCTCAAACGAAATACCCATGCATAGGACGCTATCATCATCGTGGCGCGACTCGTATGCATAAGTCATTGTGTTTTATCAATATTTGAGCATATTACACGAGTATTTAATTCACGAGGAAAAAAAGTGTTTTAAAACAAGATGCTTGTGACAAAAAACTTAAAGTGTTTGTATAGTATGTAGGACGATCTTGCCATGAATTGACGTAGACTTGACAATTCTCATAATTAAACGAGAAGAAAGTTTTGAGTTTGTGTAACTTGACCCTTGTGATCAAAACTGTTGGATGCTTGAAACAATGGCACCCTTCGAATATTGTCTTCTGGGTTCTGGACACCGTGCACATCTTGTCCTTGTCGATAGATTTTCCCCGAGTAGAACATGGAGACGTATTGATCAGGAATTTTGTTGTTTGTAGTTATGCGGCTTACTTCGATTGAGAATATATTCCCAATTTACTTTCCCAAAAATGTCGTAATTTTGTGTGACCCAAAAAATACTCAGCTTAAATCAGCCTTGCACACAATATTGACAACGAACAAAAAATTAATTTGAAACCAGAAGACATCTTTATTATTATCTCAAGGGTGTACACCGATGGAAATTACAAATGTAGCCTAATCCTCGTAATTGTTGCATATGCTACTTTGTCGATCTTCTGAGGGGAGACCTTGAACACGTAGCGATCTGCTGCTGGAGGTTGAATCTACACCATTGCTTTTTTCCTTTAATACGGGTCACCTGTCTTTTGGTTGTAGAGTTGTTCCTAGGGATCGGCGTTTTACGATGAAGAGGGCACTTTTCCT